AATAAAAGCATGTTTTTTACCACAGTTTCATAGGTTGTAGTGCTAGAGAGAGCATGTCAGCTGAGCCAAAATAAAATATAATCCTCTTTATTGCTTCCACTGGAATAAGCTTGAGCGTTAAACTGGACCCGGACTACCTCCTTCTAATTCTTTAAACTTTTATTTTGAAATTAATAATTTCAAGATAATGCTCATTATTTTGTCTAATTACCTATTTAGTTGTCAAAATAGATACATTGTTACTTAAAGAAGTGAAAGTGGTTCAATTTAGAAATTATATAGTAAATAATAAATATTTGAAAACTGATGCACATATTCCTCCCGCGTTTTGGGCTTCAAGTACTAATTTTGTAAATCGCACAACTAATAGACGTAAATCTTTCATTTTAATTTCATGAATGTTTTTATTCGCCACATCTCAACATTTTCCATTTCAGAATATTTATCATCAAACTGTAATCTACGTTAAAAGCCAATTTGTCAGTAAAAAAAGTAACAAAAAAAAAAACAAAAGAAAATACTTATAAGACATAAAAAAACAAATTCGGCAATATTGTGACCTCATAATATCTTGTTAAACATACCTGTATGTACCTTTGCTAAGTTGTGAATTAATTTTAATAAATAATATTACTCTGGTATACTCGTATTATTCTAATTATCCCATAACCGCACTGAATATACAAACCGCCCGCTCGCTTTATTTTATATACCTATGGCTTTTTACGGTAGGGGGTGGGTGTCTGGCTGTAAGTAGGTATCTAAAAAGCTCAACTTTAGTACAAGATGACGTTTAGAATATTCTTCGGGAATGAGTTTTGTTTTCGTAAAGAAAGATAATTTGAAATAGATATCGCACTGAATTTAACCGTTAGGATTTTCGAGGATAAACCTTAATACTGAGAAATAGGAAATTTTGTGTTGTAGGTTTCCGACTATCATCATCAATCAGCTAATCGCGTCCACTGCTGGACATAAGCCTCCCTCAGTTCTTTCCAGCGTTCTCTACACTGGGCCGCTTGTAGCCACTTTCCCGCTACACGTTTAATGTCATCGGTCCATCTAGTTAGTGATCGTCCTCGGCTTCTTTTATAATTTCTGGGCCTCCATTCCATAATACGTCTTGTCCACCGTCCATCTTGCGTTCTGGCTAAGTGCCCTGCCCAGTTCCACTTAAGCATCGTGATTCTTTCGATGACGTCTTGAACTCCTGATCTTCGCCTGATTTGTTGGTTTGTTATGTGGTCTCGAAGGCTCACGTTCAGCATTGCACGTTCCATGGCTCGTTGTGTAACTCTAAGTTTATTCGCAGATTTTTGCGTGAGTGTTAAAGTCTCTGCTCCATAAGTTTGTACAGGTAAAACACATTGGTTATAAACCTTTCGCTTGAGACACATGGGAATTGAACTTTTTAGAATATGGCTTAATTTGCCAAATGCTGCCCATGTTAGACCTATTCGCCTCTGTATTTCATGTGTTTGATTGTCTCTGCTTATTTTGATTTCGTGTCCCAGATATTTGTAAGTGTCTGTTTGTTGTATGGTATTATTGTCAATAGTTATTTTTCCACTCATTACGAGATTTGTTATAATTTTAGTTTTCTCAAAGTTTATCTTTAATCCTGCTCTTTCAGACAGACTTTTAAGCGAATGCATCATAGAAACTGTATCATGTAAGTTATCTGCGATTAATACAACATCATCTGCAAACCTTAGGTGATTTAATCTTTCTCCATCTATATTGATGCCCATATCTTGCCATTGAGTACCCTTAAATATTGACTCTAGGGCTGCCGTGAACAATTTTGGTGAAATATTGTCTCCTTGTCTAACTCCTCGACCTAAGCTGAATTTTTCTGTGTCTTCGTGCAGTCGTATACTTGATGTAGCGTTCTAATAGATGTTTTTGATTAGTGTCGTGTACCTGTAATCTATTCGGCTTTGATTTAGGGCTTCCAGTATTGTTTCAAACTCTACAGAATCAAAAGCCTTCTCGTAATCGACAAATGCAAGAACCAGTGGTATGTTGTACTCGATGCACTTTTCTATTAAGATCTTTATGGTATGCAAATGGTCATTTGTGCCATATCCTGCCCTGAAGCCTGATTGCTCTTTGGGCTGATAGAAATCAAGTTTAGGTGTTAGCCTCTTTGTTAAGATTTTCATAAAGAGTTTGTACATATGTGTCAAGAGGCTGATGGGTCTATAATTTTCTAATTTAGTAATATCGCCTTTTTTGTGTAACAAGACTATTACTGCATTGTTCCAGTCTTTTGGAATCGTACCCGCATGTAAGCATTTAGTAAACAGTTTGCTTACTGATTTTAATAAAATTTCTCCACCTGCTTTTATTGCCTCGATAACGAGTCCATCATCACCAGGCGATCGATGGTTCTTCATTTCCTTTAAAGCTGCTCTTACTTCTGACACAGTAATGGGTAAAAGTATTTCCGACACTTTATTCCGATAGGTTTCCGACTATGAACCTCTCAAAATATGATCGAGCTAAGCGACTGGACCTTAATTCTTTAACTTTGGTCAAGATCTTAAAAAATTTTTTTTCCGTATCTTTCAAAGTCGACATGGAATGTAAATAGCCTTGTCGACAGGTAAATATCATGAGACTATATTTGTAGAAGTCGGCTTAGTGACAATGGTAATTTTAGTATGTCTGTGATTTTTAGTAGTTTAGTATTATCAGTGACATCAGTGATACTAGAAACTAAGATCTGCATTAGGAATTAAGCAAAGTTTTTGCAAGAGTGTAGAAGTCATAGGATCCTTTATGTTGAGATATATGTTATTGCTTCAATTATATATAAAATGCCAGATCTGAACTGATATCCATCTTGTTTCGTATAAACTTGTTAAAATTTTCAATTTTAGTTTCAATTTTAAACTTCATTTCTCTTGGCTGACATGTTAAAATAATTATATTACTGACTTCATTATTCCCACTGTATTTCTGATGGACGATACATTAATAGAAATTGAAAGGAAGTTGTGTAAAATATTATTTAGGTAATCACATCTCACTGCATTTGTTGGCACCTTTTTTATTTCTGTTACTGCACGGACTGCTTCAGAGCTTATAACGCTACAACTGTCAGTACCGATTACTACAAATCTCTTCGTATCCAAGTGCAGTTTTATTAACAAATTTATTACTATTTTTCCCAGGGCTTCTCCTAACAGTCGTTGTTCTTCCCAATTTTTTAAATTATGTTTATCTTATAAGCGTCAAAGAACTTGACAAAGTCTTTACAAATGTTGATATTTTGTATGTATCTCAAATTTGCCTTTAAACCTGATTCATTATTTGTTCAATCAATTCTTTACCACAACTTTTTATTAATTGATTTTGATTGGTGCTACCAATATATGTTGCTCGGGAAGATGCTGTGGATAAGTGTTGTATAAGAGTCTTATCTCCTGATGGGATTTTAAAATTTAACAATTCCCTGATATTTTCGTCATTGCTAGGACAAGCAGCATCATCCAGGTCCAGAAGCAGAAGGTGTTTAGTATTAAACTTGAGAGGTCGCTGGTTAAATTATATCAGATAAATAATTATAACGAAGAATGCAATATTGGTTGGTACATAAAATGGGTGAAAATAGCAACTATAAATTGTGAATAAGTTATGAAATCAACTGGTTTACTCATTATCAATGTTTTGTACAAAGAATTATAAGGCTTACCCTTTGGTTCTACTGATGAGTTCGTACCAGGCTGAAGAGTTGGTCGGTCGTACCGACGCTAGCGTCGCCGTCGCCCGAGGCTCAGCATGAGAACCGTCCGGAACTAGATGCGTGTCGATCGATCGTTGTCTGACGAAGAAGTGCGAATCTTGAGGGTTTGAGAGCGTTTCGGGCACAAACCAGCCTCTAACTGTGAGGTGGTCAACAGCTCGTAGGCCGGGCATGCCATAAATCAACCATTTGTTTCAATCTTTCTGACATAGAATACAAAGAAAAAAGCCCAATTCTGCGTACTTTAACATGATAAATGAGAGCCAGTTTAAGTTTTACGAACTCACAGGAAATAATATATTTTAAAAAGATCTTTGAAATACAGCACCCAAATTAGGTCATATTACAGTACCGTAACAGAAAAAATATTAACTGTAAAAATATGAAATGAATTCGCACATACTTTCCCAAACAGAAGGTCATTAGTAAATGTCTGTTGCTTTCTCCAACAGAGCGCGGTTGTGTTATACACGCATATCTTAGATTATCTCACACTTTACCTTGTTAAGCATAACCTCTATTACCCTTAAAACTAAAAATATTTTTCTCGTGGCAAGCATGATATGTGTTTAAAACTAAAAACATTTGAACTGCAAATATTTTTTAAAATTCTTCGAGGGTAAGCGGGCATGGTCTCTATGAATGTTACCAATTTTAAACCTCAGTTCCACAGAAAAATAACACTGTTAATTATAAGGACTGTCAATATATGACAGACGATGAATGTCAATGCAAGTCGTCATAGTAGGTGACTTGACTTCGAGCAAAAATATTTGTACTTAAGTAAATATTTTCAGTTGGTAAAACTCAACGACAACAACGAAAAATTATTTTAACGATAAAATTTTTACTTAAAGCACGTTGGTGGAACTGACTAAAGTTTTCATCGTAGCCGATATTATACTGCGTTTATTCCTCCTCATATTGGCTCTAGTTTTGACACTGTACGTCAGTTTAGGTTTAGTTTAGGCAAATATTTTTTTCATTTTTACCTATTTTTACATATTTTCATCTGTCATATTTATTTCTCCAGATTATTTTTGGCGATAATCCCGATACAGCAGCAACTTTATTTGTTTAATTTTTCTATTTCAGGATTATCACAGCTGAAACAGTGGGCATGTTATATATTATCATTTATTAAATAGATAGTTTTCATCTCATACAATTTGTGTAATATTATAATCTAACGCAATATAACAAACCAATATCTTAATAACTCAATACTGACCAATATATTTTTTTTTAGCCAAAGCTCAGTATGCAGAAAACACACCCCCTTCTCTTTGGATGGACGATAGAAATTGGAACATTCGTGAAAACGAAACCATTGGTACAAAAATTTCACAAGCTCATGGGGACGATCCTGAAGGAGTAGTTTTAACCTATGGGCTTGAACCTATTGTATTTTTCTTTGGTGGCAAGGAAGAAAAATTACCATTTAGGATCGATAACGAGACCGGCACTGTGTATCTTAATGAAAGTTTAACCGGAAGGGTAAGTTTAAATTATATATTTATAAATTTTAAAAAAAATGAGTATTCTTTTTGGATAGAATTTTATATTCTAGAAACAGAGAGGGCTACTAAATTGATATGAATCCATATTCAGGTTAAACAATTCAAAAAATTGATTTATCGGTTTTTGCATGTATGCTCCCCATTTGTGCTTGCAACAGGCAACGTATAAGGTAACGAACAGCTTCACCGCGATTAACCTTCAGGAACATATCGTTTTTTCACATCTTCTTCTTCTTTTTGTGCCACTCCTAATGCGTATTTATGTCCTCTCATCAGGTGACCAAAATATTCGAGTTTTCTTCGCGTTGGCGTTAACAAAATCTCTGGGTCTTTTCCTATTATTCGTATTACTTCACAGTTTGTTATTCTTTCAACCCAACTAATCTTCAGCATTCGACGGTAGCACCACATCTCGAAACTTTCAATATTTTTCATGTTGTTCTGTTTGAGAGTCCAGGCCTCTACACCGTATAATAGCGTGTTAAATACATAGCCTCTCAGCATTCTTAATCGTAGAGGGATGCTTATATTTCTGTTGCAGAAGAATTTTCTCATCTTTATGAAGGTGGCCCTGGCAATTTCGATACGTCTTTTTATTTCACTGTTTTGGTCTCCAGTTTCGTTTATTAAAGTTCCCAAGTATTTGTAACTTGTTACTTTTTCAACTTGAGTGCCGTTTATACTAATATACGCTGGTTGTGTCATGTTTTTACTGAAGACCATATACTTGGTTTTTTTAATATTGATATTTATACCATAATTGTTGCAAGCAATATTTATGTCTGTAAGTAATCTTTGTAATTCTTCTACTGTTCTTGCAACTAGTACAGTGTCGTCCGCGTATCGAATATTATTTACAATCTCTCCATTAATTACGATTCCTCCGTTTGCTTGTAAAGGGGCTTCCTGACAGATGCTTTCACTATATACATTAAATAACAGAGGTGACAAAATGCAACCCTGTCGTACTCCTCTACGTATTTCTATTGCTTGTGATGTTTCAGTTTCTATTTTGATGTTAGCTTTCTGATTCCAATATAGATTGAGAATTATTCGCAGATCTTTATTATCTATGTCCTTCCTTTCAAGAATCTCTCTAAGCTTATCATGGCGTACTCTGTCAAACGCTTTTTCAAAATCGATAAAACACGCCTGATTAACGTCTAGGCATCTTTGTGTGAGAACATTCAAACCGAAGAGAGCTTCTCGAGCACCAAGCCATTTTCTGAACCCCACCTGTGTATTACTAATATCTGACTCCAACTTTTGATAAACTCGGTTGGGGATGATTTTTAGAAATATCTTTAGTAGGTGGCTCATTAAAGATATTGTTCGATGTTCTGAACATTCTTTAGCATTAGATTTCTTTGGTAGTGTAACGAATGTAGACAACAGCCACTCTTGAGGTATAATACCAGTATTGTACATTGTATTAAATAAGTGCAATATTATACCTATTGATTCATCATTCAAGAGCTTTAGCAATTCGGTAGGAACCTCATCCGTTCCATTTGCCTTCCCAGTTTTGGAATTTTTAAGTGCCATTTCTACTTCACATTTTAGAATTTCAGGTCCCGTTTCGACATATATCAAAACAATGTTATTTCTGTTGTCCTGAAATAATTCTCTTATGTATTCACTCCATCTATTAATTTTCTCTGTTAAATCTATAATAATCTTTCCATCTTTGTTCTTAAGCAAACTTATTTGACGTCTTCTTTGGGTTCCTGTAATTTCTCTTACTTTTTTATGTATATTGAACGTGTCATACTTTCTTTCATAGTTTTCCATTTCTACACATTGTTCTGTAATCCATGATTCTTTGGCATTTCTTATTCTTTGCTTTATATTCTTATCAACCTCTTTATATTTTTCTGCATTATTCTTCATTTTACGTCTTTCATCCATTAGTTCTAGAATGTCTGGTGTCATCCACACCTTATGTTTCTTTGCAGATTTGGTTAGGTGTTTCTTTCCCGTAGTTCTTATTATAGTATTTATATACTTAAGTTTTTCATCTATGTTGTCTGTTCTGCGGATTTGGCTTTCTGCTACACTGAGGCTGGTGTTTATTTCTTCTCGCACTGTTTGTCGTAGATGTTCATTTTTAAGCTGGCTTAAGTCTAATGCTGGAATGATGGTTTTTCTTATTTTCTTTGGTCTAGCTTCTATCACAGATACTACTGGATTATGATCCGAACCGATATCAGCTCCAGGGAAAGTTTTAGTAGATTTTACGGCATTACGGTATCTTTTTGTCACCAATATGTAATCTATTTGTTTCTTTCTTTTCACATCTACTAAATCCTTATATTGGCGTAACAACATTGTTTGTCTATCGTAGTTAATATCGTCACACCCATACTTATAGCGACAGGTTCTAGCCCGCAACAAAACAAACGCGCTGAAGCAAAACACAGTTTTTAACAATATTTCAGTTTACTTATTTTTGTATTAAAAATTTTTTTATAGTTAATTAAAATTCAAAAGTTGATTTCAATTAGGTTTAAACACATTTTTATGCAAGCGTTTTAAAAATTTATAGTTTGATACGCTCCAGTAGTGTTAAACCTATTTAAAAATGACCTATATTAACCTTGTTAACCTAATTTATATATCTAAAGCTATTTAGTTACTTAAACATCAGGCAATAAATACAATTTTCTGTACTTACGCTTGCTCGAGGTACTTTTTCAGGAACAACAGTATCTTTTCTAGAAACATATTGCTTCCCAGTGTCTCGTAGGGTTTTGCTTTTATTGTTATTACTAACTAAGCCTAATTTTCCCTTTTCAAGACTTATTTAATTGTGTTTCTGTGGCCACATTCACATTAACACATGTTTCATTCGCCATGTCTAATATTTCTAACAATGTTTCAACCTTATTCGCCGCGGCTCAACTTGAATGCTCTCATAAACATAAAATGAGGTGATTTTCTGCGACCAATTATATACCAGTATAACAGAAATTATTATGAAATATGAAATCCGTATTTCGCTAATAACACCGATTCACAAATATTAAGGGTTACAACCTTATTTGGGGCGGACATTCAATTGCTGTCTCGCATATTTTAACTTAATTTTCTCAAAAAAAAAAAAAAAAATGTTAAAAATATAGGTCTTACCATAATAATGATAATATCAAGCTATTAATGTCGCATCATTTCGAGTGATAGCCACGCATTCCTAGACTACCCTAATTACGGTTTTTTTCGATGGCTCTATATATCGACCATCAACTGATAAAACTTTGCGAACTTCATCGCAAAAAACCGACACAAATATTTTTCTGTTTTTGCCGTCATATGGCATTATACTCATAAGTTTTAAGATAAATGGAGATAAACTTGTTTTTAATATGAGTTGAAAGACAATCGTTATCTGTCTTAAAAGTTTTGCTGCAAAGACTTTCGGAATAATATTAGACTCCACGTATTGCAGAATTTTCTGAAAGTTTTTCAATTTACAGTTCGCGGTGTTTTATATGTCGATATTGTTGGCTTATTTACCACCAAGTTTAACAGAATTTCTGAATGACCATATATAAAATGCAGCAGTTTAAAAACTTTACTAATATTGCTTATACAACGTAAGTAGAATGAAGTCTCTCCTAACAGGCACTATATTAAATCGACAGCTCCTCTATACAGACTGTTATTAACAAACACTCATTTGCATATACAGTGTTAGTCAAAAGTCCGTTCCCCCCTCGTATCTTTTGAACGGTTATCGTTAAAATAATGAAATTTGGAGGGAGGTAATAAATTGACGTAGGCTTCTCAACTAGTCATAACAGGTGACGTTTCCAAATGAGATTGGTTTAGGGTTGCAAAATGATCGGTATGGTTAAACTCTAGTAATAACTTAAAAAACACTGTTTTATTTTAGTTATAAGTAAAGGACAGTGAATTTGAAAAAAAAAAAGAATTTTTCCCCTTAACAAAGAAAAGAAAAGGAATATATATATTGTGGCTAAACACCCCGTACGGGGTTACGCTGCTTAAGCTCTCTAGATCTATTTTACGAGGTAGATCAGTCCTCATTTTCTTTATTTAATTTTTCTTGTTATTTTTCTCCACTGTTTCCTATCTCTGGTTTTTTCTCTCCATTGTCGTACGCCCGTCCTGTTGATATCGTTTGTTACTTCTTGTAGCCATGTAGATCTTGGTCTTCCATGTCTTCGTTTACCAGCTGGTGTCCATTCCAATATTGAGAATATTGTCGTAGATGGTCCTGATCTCCATATATGTCCTAGCCATTTTGCCCTTTGCTGTTTTATTTTACAAACTATATCCTCTTTAATTTCGTTTAGTAGTTCATGATTCGTTCTTTGTCTATATTGGTTTTCATTAATTTTTATTGGTCCTAATATTGCTCTTAGTATTTTTCTTTCTAGTATTCTAAGGTCTTCCTCTTGTTTTTTGTCATGCTAAGGGTTTCGGCAGCATACATCATAGTCGGTCAAATTATTGTTTTATATATTTTCATTTTTGATTTTTTGCTCAGTAATTTATTTTTTAGAAGCTTTTTATTTGCATAGTATGTCTTATTTGCTGTAATTATCCTTTCTTTAATTTCTGTTTTCCTTTCTCCATTGTTTGCTAATAATATTCCCAAATATTTAAACTTTTCTACTTCTTCAAATATATATTCTCCCAGTCTAACTTTTTTGTTTCCATATTTTTTGTCAAATCTCATTATTTTTGTTTTTTCTTGATTTGTTACTAATCCCATTACTTTCCCTTCTGCTACCAATTCTTTTAACATACTTTCCATTTTTTTCTGTTCTTTGTTATTATCACAATATCGTCGGTATATGCTTTTATTTGTCCCTCTCTCGTTCTAAGTGTACCTTTGTTGATTTTTCTGACTATATATTCCAGGGCAAGATTAAACAGAGTTGCAGATAATGAATCTCCTTGACGTACACCTTGATTTATAACAAATTCTTCTGTGTCTCCTTCTTGTGTTTT